TTGCTCATCCTAGTTAAGATGATCTCAAGGTGTGTTTTGCGCTCCTTGAATGCCATGGCGAAGTTAAGCTTCTCGTTCCCCAGCACGATGTCCATCAACCGTTGGAAACTCGATGGCGAGTGAGAAAATCCGAACGGATGGCGGGTAAACTCCTGTAGATTCCTGTGATAGGTGAACGCCGTCTTCTGGACGTCGTTCTGGAGCTACCTGGATCTACAAAAAGCCTCTGCTACAATCCAAGGTAGTGAAAACGTTTGCGCTGCCCAGGGAGTACTTGATGGACTAAATAGACGGGAAGGGAGATGAATCCCTTCGGTGTAATAGCTAAGCCGGCGGTAGTCAACGCAGAGGCGAGCGGTGCCGTCTTTTTTTTTTTTTGACGCTAAGACTACTGGGAAAGTTTAGGGGCTCTGTGACGGTTGCGCGGTTCCTGTGTCTATCATCTCAGCGAGAGCCTTATTCAGGAGAGCTCGCTTGTGCGCACTCAGCGGTTTGGCATTGCAACCCATAAACTAGCATCTCCTGCGTGAATTGTATGTTATAAAATCTTTGTAAATCAAGGCCTCTCGGTAAACATAGCTGCGTGTCCATACAATGCGTGTGCCAGTCTCCGCCGTTGCTCTACCTGTTCGTTGTATGCAGCGACAATAGGGAGTTTTAGCGAGTCGTTTTCCGAGCCCACGGTTCCGAAATCACGAACGGTGCAGCTGGTCCGTTCCGTGAAACCGTACGTGAAATTTGACATATTTTAGCGAATCGTGAAACTGGCGCAACCATGCAAACGATGATGATGATTGTGTTTGACCGGTAGCGCCATATTCTAGTAAGCATGTGAAACATTGTGCAAGGTGTAAATCCGTGGTGGCTCGTTTTTCCGGCGTGCGACTGATGTAAACAAGACGGCCGACGTAACTTTTGCCGGTCGGAATTTTAAGAACTGCGAAGCTAGATAGAGTAAAAAGCGTCTGAACGACCGTAAACGCTTGTGATGTGTTTTCGTCATCTTGAGCTTGAACGATCGTTCACGTTGTGTGCCGTCGAACCAAATAGTTTGGTCTGCTCGCGTTCTCCACGGCAGTTAGTCTGCCCGCAGATCGCAAAAATTTACTAGCATGATCAGTTTACAGCATTCACGATCGCTTACCATTGTGAGCAGTCCTCGAAATGATTTGGCTCAACCTCTCAAATGAAGTAAAGTAGCAAGATGGCAAATCGCCTCCCGTTGTCCTAAGCGTAACGGTCGGCTGGGTCGGCTGAGTCAATCGCCTTACCGACCGCCATCTTTTTCTCTTACCCGAGTCATGAGCGGTGCTGGCTGCGTTTCGGTGACGACTCCATTGGCCGGAATGGGAGAAACGAACGAGTAGAGCCTCCCGACGCCCCGAACGACTCGTGCGCGCATGCACAGTGGCGTTACCGATGCGTTCGAGAACGAACCGTTCGTGTGGACATGACTTGCTAAAACTCCCTAATGTATTCAATGTTTCCCGATACGACTCGCCCAGCTAATGCTTGCTCCTCTCATGATTCGGCGAGTGAGCATTTCATGTTGTGCCCGAAACTCGGTGGGATGGCAAAGCGGATAAGGGGAGGCAACGGATTATAGTGATACCCCTTGCTTTTTTTTAAGATCTCAGATAATCCCCTTATGGCAGACAAACTTCTGTCCCAAGATCACAGGTATTTGCATGTCTAGCAGATAGACAGAACACTTCCTCTTTCGTCTACCGTCAAGTCTAAAAACCCGTTCACACACTTGCAACCTAGTAGGACCGACTGAGACAAGTCTGAATTTTAAACCTCTTTCGACGGCTTAGGTCCAGCTCCGCAGCAGAGTATCCGGTCCTAAGTAGTCCCCAAATTCTTAAAAACCGGTCTTGTGTCAATCAGTCCTACTCGGTTGCAAGTGTGTGAACGGGCCTTAAGGGGAAGGCGCACTGCGCCTTGAGCCTTTGTCGATCCAGCTGCTAAACTCAGCGCGGTTGGAACTTCCCGCACGTGATGTGCTCTTCGGCGACAGTCTTCGTAGATTCTGTCGTCGATTAGAAAAAAAGGTCGAACCGGTGTCAGTTAGCGCGTAGTAAAGGTTGTGGGGTTCTTTATGAAGGTCGCTCAGCACGCACTGTCTCGCACCAGCTCGTGTCTTCTCCGCCGACCGCCTGTCACGTGCCCTCTGCTTCGTCTTTTATCCTCGGCTCCCACAAGGTTACCACCAATTTTGACGCGCACGTACGGCCCCTTCTCAGATGTCGAACCCTGAGTCCGACCTACCGACGGGGCAAACACCAACCGGTCACTGACCGCAACTCCAGCCCCGTTTGTAGACACTGATGAGGGGCCTGGGCAGCGGCCGGCAACCGTGAGTCGGGAAGCCCATATGGTGGCGCCGGCCTCTCCCGTTTTCCTGAGACCTATGGGAGGAGGGGGGGGGGGGGGGAGTGGAGCTGCCGCCCATGTGCATTGTTGCTTGATATGTCCAAGCTGGTTACATTGGTAGCACCCACGGTGTAAGAAAATACTCTTCAGGTGAGGACAGCGCGCGCTCCTCGCGACGTGCCGATAAAGTTCGCTTTCACTCTCTCTCTTTCTCTCTCCCTCTCACTATGGATTCAAGCGGCTCCGGCAGATGACTCGCCCATAGAGTTATTATCATGTACGCTAGAGGTTCAACTGGCGCTAGTGTGCTGCTGCAAATTAAAGCAGACAGCAACCAGTCGGAAATTGACTTCCGGTAATGCTTTTCTATGGGAAAAAGCGGGTGCATTTTCTCGCAGCGCTCGATTACAAGAGCAAATATCACGAATATTTCGTACGTACTAGGCACATTGGAACATTTCTCATTCTCGCAGACGAAATAATTGGTCAGTTACGGAGTTTTTATTTGAAATTCGTGGCATGAAAAACGGTGCTAAAACCGTTTCGTACATGTATTTGTGTGCACTGTCGGACACTGTTAGCGCGAACACGGCGTCGGCTCTTTCCGCCATGGGGGATATACGTATCAAAGGAACGAATGACATGTGGAAAACCAAGAGAGACGGCAAAAACTACGCAGTAACACTGGATAAGTAACTCCTCGTGCATGCAGGCGATAAAAATAAATTGAAAGCCACGTATAATAGTCCAATTTGCAATAAAGAAGTACTGCTTTATTCTTTCTGCTCGCGATAATGTGCGAGGATGCATCGTTCTGGGTTCAAATCATCAACCGCACGCTTCAAATCTTTACAAGTAGGGAGAAATCAGAGAACAGGTGCCCGATAAAAACTGCCTGACATAGAAAATAATAAAAAGACACATTTTTCGTAGCCCACGTACTTTATTTTTACATTCGAATGGTCTTTAACCGATCGTAAAGGTGCACGACGGAGTCATATTCATAGAGTGACAGGACGGGCATATTAGCAATATATAAGCGCCACCGGGATGCTAGCGAACCTTGAACACACTCTACATTCCTTTCGATCGTTATTTAGCTCAGAAGCGTCGCTCGTTTTTACATACCTGCCATGGAACTGAGGTTTGGGCCTGAAATATAGCGAAGCGTAACAACGTTCAATGGTAAAGAAAAATGCTGTAATTAAAGCTATTACACTTTCACAATATTAATAAAGGTACATACTATCCGGTACAACCGAAGTAATAAAAGTTATTCATGTTATTTTCCGGCGAAGAGACAAAATTCACGCGCGTTTTCCCATAGGAATGCACAGGACCACCGCAAAAGTAGACTGGTTGCTGTCTGCTTCAATTTGCCTCCCGGAAGTCGCGTAGACACTAGCGCCAGTTGAACCTCTAGCGTGCATTATAATAACTCTATGGACTCGTCGACGCGTGGGCACGGCAAAGACGGCTCGTGCCGCCTCATGCTCCACACGCGCAGAGCTCCAGCGAGGTTGTCGCTCGTGCAGAAAGACCACGGTGTACCGGGGTGTCATGCCAACGAGATATTTTTTTTCGCTCTCACACAGTTTCGCCGTTTGGCCGCCGGCGACACTGTCAGCCGAGGGCACGGCGGCCGAGGAGTAATGCAGCCTTTCGGATACCCGTGGAACGAGCATTATCTGATTCCTCGCGCCGCGCGTTCAGCCCCGCCGCGTCCTCACCTAAAAAGTGTATCTAACACCGTGGTAGCACCTGACCTGTCCTCGGTCGCTGTGCGCTAAGCGTCCCCCGTCAAGGCCGGTTCACACATACAGCGGAGCGCTACACTCTAAAAAAAATCCGTTCTTGAAAGGTTCTTCGCCGCCCCAAGAACTCTTTTTCCTCGTGAAGAACTGTTTTTGCTCAAACGGTGTCGCCCCCTGGCGCACTAGAAAGGCGACCGGGCGATGAAGAACGTTTGCCTGGAAAAAAGTTCTTCATAATGTTTCTTTTTTTTGTATTTTTGTTTTCGAAGAAGCGGTTGCGCGCGAAGGAGTGCCGGTGGTGCCGCTGCGCCGCGCCGTTTGCCTGCGTGAGATTCTGTAAAGGCGAAAGTAACGGCGGCCAACAATTCGGGGTTCGCTGTCTACTGTTTCGACCTGGTTCTGTCGGCGGCATTCAATGGATGGGGTCACGGTGCGAGAACATACAGACGTGTCTAGATGGAAGCTCCAGGACGTGTCAGATTGGTTGACAAAGCAAAACCTTGGAGACTTCGCCCAGAGATTCGAAGGTAAGCAGAATGCTCCGTCCTCTTTGTTTGTGTTGGTTGGCGGCGTCGGTTTCGTCTCGCGTTTTCAGTTTCCAAGTTGAGTGCCGGTAACGGTGGCTGATTGGGGTCTCGATGGCGCTATCCTTCCCTACTTCCATGTGCACGCGAATATTTTTTTTATGAAACTTGTAGTGCAGTGTGGATATTTGGACATGTTTTGTGAGCGAGGAAGTGCTTCCGGGTCTTTCGGCGATTGGTGAGATTTGTCGTCGTTTGTGCGATTTCAGCATGAGCGGATACGAGTGTTCAAAGTTTTCCCAGTGCTACCACACCGGGAGTCATCTGACAAATCATGTCCAGGTAGCTCATGGTGACCCGGACTTTAATTCTGTTTGCAAGTTGGGTGAGTGCTCTCCGCCTGGACGATATTTTATTGCATTTGATAGCTTCAGGAAGCACATGGAACGTAAACATGTCGAGGGAGGATCTGGGGAACCAGATAATGGAAGCAGTGTGGGGGTGATGCATGCCACTGCTTTATGGTTGCCCCCCCCCCCCCCCCCCCCCCATCTTCACTCTCTTTAGACTATATTTGTGTACACCATCAAAATAAAAGGGTAGAAAAATGTGGTATAACTTCTGCCATTAACATATATAACATATATGTATGATATAAACTGCATGTGCAATATTTTATCCCCTTTTATGCAGAAGAGGTTGATGGGAAGACGTTACTAAACTTGTCTGTGTGGATGATTGAGCAGTTGCTCCCTGCTATGAAACTGCGAGTCAAACTGCTAAAACTGACTGAACAGCTAAAAGGAGACATAAAAGAAAGGTGGGGCACATTACTCAATTGGAAATTTGTGTTCCATTTGTGAAATTCGAGATGCACTAATTACATTGTTGTCTTTCAGCTTGCCTGGACCCTCCAATGTGCCTCGTGCTAGTAACACAGCAGCCTCAGTTTGGTCTACAGAGGTTGTAAGGAATGTATTGCCACAGAGATATACTCTCGCATAATTTCCCTCTCTACTGTTACAGAGGCTGTGTGAAAAGAGTGAACTGTTCCTTCAACCACAGCAAAATGAAGCACGAACAAAGTTGGTCGCTGCGTTGGCAGGCGACATTCTGAGCAAAACACCGAAAGCAGCAGCATTTGAAGTCCTCACTTATATATTTTAAAATAGAGGCTAACATTTGTTGTTTTTTCTTTCCAGAACGCCAAGTCGGTCTTAGCTAGATGATGTCATGCGTGCCCTCCAAGCCCATACCCCTTCCTGGCCGACTCCACTGGACGCTGCGTAAGATTTACAAGAACTTGTTTTCCTTCTGACAATTGAAATGCTTGTATCGAAGCTCATTATCTGCATTGTAACAGGCTTGCTACTCATCAGTCTCACTGTAGGATTCACTGCGACACAGCCTTATTAACAAAATGAAAAAAAAGAAAGGTTGCTTCTTATGCATCTGCCAGAAGTTCAGCAAAACAAGGAAAACTATGGCAAAGGTGGTGGGCGAAAGCGAAAGGAAAAACGCCAACGCAGTGACTGTATTCAAAAATACAAAAGGACCATGGTAAGTTTGTTATAATCTGGTTCTGATACAGTTAAAAGAAATAAAAATTACCTGGAAGCGGGAACTGTTCTTAAATAGTTATTCAGCTAAATGTAGTTATGTAATTGCTGCACCATATGCCTCAAAGTGCTTAGCCTGTTACATTTTGCCAAAATGAGAGGAATCTTTATACAGTTTTCATTCGCCCGTCCAGAGGAATGGTTAGAAGCTTGGGAATGACCTTACCAAATTCGGCTTGATTGTTTTTAAAAGACATATTTATTGTTCGCAAGCAGATTCTTGTTATGAAGTCTTAAATATACGACACTGATATTCACAATCAAATGACGAAATCTTTGTTTTATTATAACCTTTAGAACTGTAACAAGACATCACTTCGAGTACTCAAAATGTTTCTATTTTTACATTATTTTATTTTAGTGGTACGTACTGTTTGCTTTACTTTTGATTCCGTACCTAAAACCACCATTCACAGAAGTTCATACTATCCGTCATCACTCAGACTGGTGTTGCCATGTCTGGTGCTTCTATGTGCAACTAAGCAGATAGTGCTTTGTTCGAGAGAATCAAACTTGTCAAGCAATTGATGATAACAAAAGGTTGCACAGGAGTGGGAGGGCAAAGTAGATAGTGTTTTAGTGGAGCATGCCAACACATTAACCGTATAATAATATTCACAGTGGTAAGAATAAAGACAAAGTTTTTGCTTACATGCCAATACATCTTTTAGCAGCTCCTAAACATACTTTTGGCTACTCCTAAATGGACTTCTGACTACTGCAACAGGTGCTCCAAAGTGACTTGAACGAAACACATTGCTGTAAATGTAATCTGTAAAAGTCACAGTTGCATGGCTTGTCAGATATATCAAATACTCTTTGGTTGTCTCTCGGTTAAATCTCTTTTGTTGCATTGAACTGTCTTATTTTAGCTAAAATATAGAGTGCATATAACTTGGATCTATTTAAACCCGTGCACCCACTGTTTAAATTACATTTTTTTACATAACATAAAATAAGGCTTGCTGGAGTTCGTCTGGTACACAACCTTGTTCTTCAAATCTCATACTCTGTGCATGGCACTGACTTTTTTTTTTCAGGTTCCACATCATGACGTAGGAGGTACCGACAACTGTGCAGACCACGTAGAGATTATGGCTGCTGAATGCTCCAAGGCTGAAAAAGATGTGAAGCTCTTACTTCAAATAATGGCACAGAAGTAACAGGCAAGGAGGGTAGACATCGCTGGCAAGACCACCACTGATGTTATTTAGCTGTACCCGGCCCTCTGCATTCCCGAAGTGGTAATTTTAACACCTTTTCCACTAAACTTTCAAAGAAATAGACAGCCTGAATGGCGGATCAGTTTTGTCTGGTTTTGAGTTACTTCAAACCTAAAAAGGGTATACTAAGAGACTTAGGCACTGTGTAAATTCAGCTAACAGCCTGGTTTGCAGCTGCCTACTTGCGGTGCCGTTGTGCTCTTTGTCTGGGTTTAACACCTGTTTCTGCCATGCGCCCTCGCAGTGTGTGGTTGGAGAGGGGCATCATGAGAAGGAAGGGGCCGGAAGTCTTGTTTTGCCGCAATTCCCTTTTTCCTGCTTCCACACCTGAGTGGTTGCCTCGTCCATCGCGTCTCCAAGATAGCATTTTTATCCATAAAGTATACCTCAACAAGAAATGGTTTTGAAGCTTTTGCAAGTCAGTTTTTGTTTTCTTTAGTTAGTGGTCAAATAATAGATCTGAGCTCGCTAACGTGCCACATATGAAATCAAACATCTAGAACGCTGTCTCCATTTTCTCCAGGCCAAATTTTCAGTGTCTCATTTCAGTGTTCCACTAGGCCGTGTTATATTTGATCTATATTTTAGGCAGTGAAGCATTCTACTCATGTGCTAAGTTTCACTCTAGTCATGTTCAATAAACGTCAGTATGTTTTTTTTTTTTTTTGTGAACCGCGGTATCTTGTCTTCATTTCACCATTGACAGGTTGGACATTGCAGGGCATCTCTTTTGTTTCTCCTACCTTTATTCCCTATACCTCATACTTGGTCTTGACAAGAGTATCAACGATGAATGTGTACTTGAATACCCATCCAAGCCAGTGGTTCTGCAGTAGATGTAGTGCCCCAGAAAAGAAGCCTTGTCGTTCAAAGCCTGTTTTGCACGACTGTTGACGTTTGCAAAACGTCTAGGTGATGTATATTGCCTCTTTGAACAGTTCGAGACAGTCAATAAAGAGCGGTTTACAAAAGAGCTACTGTACACCTAAAATTGCTGCCCAAGTCGCTTTTTGCAAATAAGTTATTCAAGTTAACTCAAAAGTGGTCTTTGCAAAAAACCTTTCATTGAAAAGGTTCATAATAGAAAGCTCTCTCGGTGAAAAGTAACTTAAAAGTTAGGGGTGAGCAAGTATAGTGGTTGAAATGAAATCCTTTGTAGTTTTTTTTACTTCTCTCTCGGATGGAACGGTTTTTCATCAAACACCTTTGCAAGCTTCTTATAAGCTCTTTCAATTGACCAGTAAATCATGAAAAACCTTTATTAAGTTTTTTTAGGGTCTAAGGAAATAACAGTGCTAAATAACCTCTCAAGGGAACTTTACTTTCGGGGTGTGCGAATAACCCTCGGTTCAAATAGCGCAGCGATATTTCTAGATTCAAGAAGTCCACTGTACACAATGACTTTCATTGCAGTGTTGAACCTAGAAATATCACTCTTCTTTTTGAACCGAGGGGGTATTCGCACACCCAACATAAAAGTTCCCTTGAAAGGTTATTTAGAACTTATTTCCTTAGACCCTAAAATAACTCAATAAAGGTTCTTCATATTATTAACTGGTTAACTAAAAAAGAGCTTATAAGAACCTTCCAGAGGTACTTGATGAAAAATGGCATTATCCGAGAGAGAACTAAAAAAAACTGTTTCAGCGACAGAAGGGCTGGAAAGAACTTTTTAAACGTTCCGCACGAAGAACTGTTCCATTGAAAAGAGGTCTTAAAAGAACTGTTAAACGGTTCTTCACCAAGAACTGTTTTAGCGAGAGAAGGGCTGAAAAGAACTTTTTACAAGTTCCTCACGAAGAACTGTTTCATTGAAAAGAGAACTTAAAAGAACTCCTTAAAGGTTCTTCATGAAGAACTTTTTATAAGGTGCTTAAAAGAACCTTTTAGGGTGCAAAATATGGACAAGCCGAAGAACTCCAAAAAGTTCTTTTTCGAACTGATATTTTTTAGTGTGTACGTGAGGGCTCGAAAAAGCGCTCATGTGGCGCTTCCTAGCGCGTGACGTAGCGCTCGGTTAGCGCTTCAGCAGCGCTCTGTTAGCGCTCTCACGCTCCTTGTGCCGTGCTTGCTGCTGCGGAACAACGCGTGCACGGCGATTCCATTGTTGTTTTTTCTTTGGTGGTGAAAGAAGAGGAATTAAAAGAGCCGCAATCCAAGCAAACGGTCGGGCAGATGATCCAGAATCATGGACTTTGAACGACTAATTGATTGGGTACGACCTCATCGATTTCTATTCAACATACGTGACCCTGGTTTCAAAGACACGCAGTTAAAAAAATAATCACCTTCGAAGGAACTCTCGTCCCTGAGCCTGGGAACAAGGTTCGCCAGGTACTCGTCGGTAGCTCGGTGGCGAAACATTTCGCGCACCCAGAAGGCTCTTCTGGGCGTTCATCCGTCTACACGCATATGCACTAATTGCGTATCTAACAGCATTCGTCGCGTTTCCATTTCAGCGTCCCGCATGTCCGCCATAGTGCTGCTGATGCACCCAACCACAGGAACCGGAACCGCAGTGCACGCGCTAATCCGCAGCAGCAACCGCGATACAAGAAGCGCTAACAGGACGCTACTGAAGCGCTAACAGGGCGCTACTGAAGCCCTAACAAAGCGCTACTGAAGCGCAAACAAAGCGCTGCTAAAGCGCTAATCACGCGCTATATTAGAACTAAGTCACGCGCCAGGAAGCGCCCCATGAGCGCTCCTTGGAGCTCTCACGTAGCGCTAACTTAGTGCTCCCCTGTATGTGTGAACAGGCCTCTACCATCACGCGGTGCAGCGCCGTGCCGAGAGTCAATTTGGTTCTCGCGACCCTCGTAACGAGTCGCGACTCCGCGGTGGTCGCCTGCGAAGTCGCGACGAAGTCTAGTGACGTCACCGCCCACGCCGCAAGCTGCCGCCGCTGCGGCAGCTCGCGCGACGGTAATCTTTGCCAGGAAACGTATCCGGTGAGCGCTACGTGCTTCGCATTGTTGTCAGGAGCGCCTTATAATTAATTATGTAGTTCGAATGCTTGCTTTGTGCTTCTTCTTTATTAAAACGAATGCGGTGCTGTATATTGTATGTGTGATGTATGGACTTCTCGCTTTAATCACCGAATGTTTTTCTTCCGCGAGGACGCCGAGACGAAAAACTGCGACCAACGAGTCATGTACAGCTTCGCTGGAAAACAAAATGAGCAGTGACATTTTACCACGCTTGATGTCACAGCCAGCGTTGTCATACGTCGAGCTCTTTGCGTGGTTTGCAGCGATTGACTCTGCCAAGTGCTTTGCTGCAAAGTAGACGCCCCAGATGTTTGACAGCGTCGGAGACTGGAGGGACGGACGTGTCTACAGTCGACCGCTCACCTTTTAGTAGGCCAGTTAAAGCGGACCGGTCAGGTATAGCGGTCGCAATGACCGATCCGTCTTTCTTTATGCAAAAAGTAAAAATAAAAGTAGCCAGCTGCGGCGGCTCCGACCGACGTCGACTGCAACTAGGAAGTGGAGACCCGACGTCGTTGTTGTTTGCGTCGTTCTGCGTGATGGAGCGACGACTCTCACAATGTCCGGAGAGCGAGGAAGCTTCGACCGGGTGTCTCCCGGTAGGAACAGGGACGGTAGGCTGACCGTGCGCCCCGCTTCATCTTCATCCGCGACAGCTATGAACGCCACTACGAGTTCAACGCTTCGCATACGCCGTCGGCGGGCCCCGTCAATCGAACGTGAACTCAAAAGGGAAGGCGGGAGACTGAGGCGGCTTTTTCCTATGCACTTACCTGACCGTCAAAAATAAAAAAAAAGTATGCTTAAAAACAAAGAATTGTAAGATTATTATTATTATTTTTTTTAGAACGTGGGAACAAAAACGAAGCTCAAAATATAACTATGCTCGTTGACACATAAAAAAAAAGTTGTTTCGTGCATTATTTCTGCGTTCCGCGAAGTAGTTCTTTCAGTATTTGATTGTCGAAGGAAGAAACAATGTATTTGGAGTTTGGAACGTGCACATCTCGATAAAATACCGTAGCTAGTCTATGATGCACTTACATATGTCTAAATTCGGCACAAGAAAGGGGAAATTAGTAACCTTCCGCGTGCGGCCGGACATTTTGTTTACTACGATTCTTGAGGTGTATACGAGTATAGATGCATGGAAATACAGAGTTCGCGCGGAAGCACCAAGAAAGTTAAACGTGTTGCCCATTTGACACACTGCTCATGTCGCATTTTTTATACCTATACTCTTTTTCACATAAAGAACGAAAAAAAAAAAAAAGTCCGGCTCCTTGCGGAGCATTACTCATTTTCCCTTTTAGTAAGATAATTGATATATTTGTATATCTGCAGTTTAGAATGTATACATATTATGTTATCAAGACGCAGGTGAAAAGCATCGCTTCTTCATCCGGCAACAAAATCTTGTCAGAACTACTTCGCGCCGCGTATGAACACTGCGTAAAACGTCCTTTTTTGTTTCTTCTTGGTGTGAAAACGAGTGTAGTCGCACTCTGAGCGTCCTCATTCGCTGGGATTTTTTTCATTGTTCGCCGTAAAGTGTTTACCGACGAATGTTGTTGGATTTTATTGGATTTTTTTCTGAAAACGTAGTATTCACATTGGCGATAATTTTCTGAAGCCATTTGTTCCTATTTTGTACTTGGAACCATTAGTTCGGGGACCATTTATTCCGGGACCATTTGTTCCGATGGTCGCGATCAAAGTGGCCACACTGAATTTTAGAAAGGCTAGTTAAAAAAGAAGAAAAAGAAGATGAACTACAAAATTACAAAAGCTAACACGTGCACAGTTTACTTTCATCTTTGTTACTTCACCCCCTCCGCCATCAACGACCCTTAGCAGAGGCGTCGGCTGTAGCGTTTCATCCTCATATCCTCATTAATTTCCA